TGGATAGGGTGGTTAGGTGGTATGCAGTTTGAGAATCCCTGCTGCTTTAAAGATTAGAGCTACAAAGGTATTTAAGTGCCTAACTGCTTCTTTAGGTTTCTATGTCCATAATTTAAGTGTCTCTGACACTCTCAAAACTTCCACTCAGCTGCTGCCTAATCCTGCAGATAATTAAATTTCTACAGGTCAACATTTTCTGGTGGATAGGGTGGTTAGGTGGTATGCAGTTTGAGAATCCCTGCTGCTTTAAAGATTAGAGCTACAAAGGTATTTAAGTGCCTAACTGCTTCTTTAGGTTTCTATGTCCATAATTTAAGTGTCTCTGACACTCTCAAAACTTCCACTCAGCTGCTGCCTAATCCTGCAGATAATTAAATTTCTACAGGTCAACATTTTCTGGGATATTTAAATGCTGATGCCACCACTAAATTAACGAAATAATCCAAGTGCTAGTTCAAGGTCTGAAACAACATTCCCAAAGTAAGCATATTCCCATAGATTGGAACACGTATCTGTTTGCTTAGAGCACTCACCTGGTATGATGGGCACTGGATTTGAAGCAGGGACTTGAATCCAGTTCTCTCATATTCGTTTTGCGATCCTCTGTTAGAGTGTGCAGAAGTGCAAAGTACCACTTTGCAACTGTTTGCCCTTAATTAATCTGTTTAGCTATTTCTTCATTAAAAAGTTTAACTGCATTAAAAAGTTTGGCAATTTCAGTTAATTTACATATTCAAAACACTGTAACAGCTTGTTTGTAAATGAAATAATTTGACTCAGATTGGTGTAATATTTTCTACAAAAACATCAACCCCCCCATGAAAGTTGAATTACCTTGGCCTTTAAAAAAAACTGTTATTTTTTTCCTCTCTAAAGCACCCAAAGAACACTTCAACCCCTTTTTTCCTTTCCCTAACATCCCTCAAATAGGTGAGCCAAAAATGAGAAAATCTGTCATTAACTCTAATGCTGAAAGTTTCCATCATGTTTGAGGTCCTATCCCCAACACACACACTTCATACTCTTCATAAAGCTATGAAAATGATCAACAACTTCTAACTGCTACATTTCTTAAGATGGTTCCTTTTTCAGGGGATTTCACATTAGAGCAGGGATGGGCAATAACTTTTTGCTGGGGGCCACACCGGAAGGGGTGGGGCCAGGATACTTCCCTGCTTCCCCACCCACAGACCGTGATTATTGTTTCCCCCATGGCACCCATGGCCCTAGTGGTGAGAGGAGAATTTGTGTGCTACCCCTTTTGCCCCCCAGGCCAATCAGGGCTTGTGGGCCGGGGAGTGTGAAGTGGCGCTTCTAAGTACTGCATGCTTCTTGCAGAGTGGGGCAGGGCAGAGGAAACATCACGTGCTCCCCCAGGTCAATCAGGGCTTGGGGTGGGGGAGCATGCAAAGTCTCCTCCTGCCCTGCCAGGAGTGTGTGGCACTTCTAAGTGCGCACTCCTGGCAGGGTGGAGGAAACTTCATGCTCTGTCCCCAGGTCCTAATTGGCCTGTGGGTGGGGGAGCGGCAGGATCATCCACTTGGTAGGCTGGATCCGGCCCATGGAGGCCCTTTTGCCCACCCCTGTGTTAGAGTTAAAGTCTTCAGTATAACACATCTATTTGGAATTGCCAAATTATCCACTGCTACAGAAAAATAATTACCTCAGTTATTTAATTATTTAGAGTGAGTACTGGCTGTATATTTTAACTCTTCTTTTCCTCAGGCAATTTTTAAGATAATCTCTAGAGCATGTGTTATTACTAACATACTTTTAGTTAATGGCTGTTGGCAACACTGTAATCAAGCAGTCTAGTTTTTTACCTCCTCCCCCACCTGAAAAGCTTACTGGTTAGAACTAAATTTGCATATTATGTCTGCACACTTAAAACAAGCATCATACTAAAGCTTGATCCTGCAAACACTGAAGTACATTCCAACTGTACTTAAAGTGTTCCATAAGTCATTGGAACTATTCATATGGGTAAAGTTATGCACATGCTTAAGTGCTTGTAGGTCTGGGACTAAAACTGTTTAACTTCAATTTTAACCATGTAGATTACATTTCAGCTAAATAGATAATTCATTATATTATTTCTTTTGAAACTTTGCTGGTCATGAAAGGTTACTTTAGACTCCAGGTGATAAAGTTGTGCGTTCTTTTTTACTAAAGCTTGTTTTCTATTGTAGCAATTGACATGTGGTCTGCAGGAATCATATTCCTTTCTTTGCTCAGTGGACGGTATCCATTTTACAAAGCAAGTGATGATTTAACTGCTTTGGCACAAATCATGACTATTCGTGGATCCAGAGAAACTATTCAAGCTGCTAAAACATTTGGTATGCAAGTTGTTAATTACACACACAAAAAAATAAAAAAAAGTATATTTAGTTTATACAAATCACTTTAAAGTTCTCCTGACATGTTTATATCTCTAAATTCAATGTAACCAACAAATTTTAGAGTAATAAAATATAAGTAAATTCCAATTTGGTAGCGTGGAATAAGATGCTAGTAATATTCTGATGCAAAACACAGCTTTAACAAAACAAAATGTCTTTTCTATTTAATCGTCATAATTTGCATTTATATAGAGCTGTTCATCCTAAAGAATTCTCAGGAATGCTTACAAACTATATATTGCTCTCGGCTGAAATGCACCAATTTTGGGAATGGCATAGGAGTCATTATATAATTGTTCTATAGGAGTTTGCTTCAAACATTTGAATTACCATCCTTAATACTGTAGAAAGTGTCCTGGAGGTTTAAATGTGACTCAGAATATAGATATTGTAACTATTAGTTTTTTTTTTTTTTTTTTTAAAAAGCCATTAGAAATATTTGGGATTTTAAAAAAATTCCAATGGAGACACGGGGAGGTGGGGGGCATACAAGTAAACATTCCTCTTCATTGCAAAACTCAAGTATTGCAGTATTTAATATCTAAAAATACAATTGACAGCATTAATTTTCATTCTTTAAACTGGGAGATTCAAATTATGGAAAACAGCATAAATAAAGGTAGATACATTTGGGATTTTAATGTTTCTTTTATTATCTAAGGCAGTAGTTGCAAAATAGACAAATTAGTTAAAATATGTTAAAGCTACCTATTTTGTGTAGGGATGTAAAATTCCATTCAATCCGTTAACCTGCTAATCACTTAAGGGGGGGCATGTGGGGGCTGCTCCAGCCAGGCTGGAGTGTTGTGCCTTCTTCTCCCTGTTACAGGCAGGAACTGCTCTGGCTAAGCCAGGCTCTCTCCCTTGGAGTGCTGCCCACCTGCTACGTGGCAGGCCTAGTTCCCCTCTCCCCCGCCACCTTTCCTACCATGGGCGGGGCTGCTCTGACTTGGTCAGGCCACCAGTTAACCATAATCTATAAGCATCAACGGGTAAAGGTGATGCTTAACGATTAACCATTCACTCCCTACTTTTGTACACATCGCGATAAAACCAAGCTTTTCAAAATCATTCAGTGGGTTGATTTCTGGCTGTACCTTTTAAGAAGTGTACCTCTGGATGATGTGGAGTGTTGCTATGGGTGTCCTTGCTTAGTTTAAATAAGAGCTCTCCTTTCTCATTTCCTACAACTCCAGAATGCCACTCAGCTATTTTCTATGGGACCAGTAGCTGTGTAGCCTGCTGTAAAATGTCAGCATAAAAGCCTCCTGACTACCAAGCAGTGCTTTTTTTTTGTTTACAAAAAAACGGTGTCGGTACTCCAGGGGAAAAGTTGTTGAGCTCTGGCTGGAGATGCTGGTACTGCATACCAGGCAGTACCATCACAAAAAAAGCACAGCTACCATGTATATAAGGAAAGTATTAAACAGAAAAATTGCAAAAGCTAACAAAAGGAGAGTAAAATGTTAATGGTTCTAGTTTCTCTCAAGTTATATGAAAAGTTAGTTATTTGCCACTTCACAAATAGCCAAAAAACCCAAGTATGAGAGATCTTTATAATTGTTTTCTTCAAATGTACTTAACATAGTATGTTATCCAAAATACAGAGAGCTCAGTATATTATGGAATCGCTGGCAGTGTGTCCATGACTGAGTTGAGTTTTACACATAAAGCAGGGATTTACCTACTTTATGTATGAAAAATATTGCTTATCCTCCCCAAAATTACAGCATTTACTCTTGAGTACAGAATGAATTGAGACTTAATTTAATTGGTTTAGTTTGTTGCAATTAATTTTTCCACCAAAGTGATCTTAATATTGGAATAATAGATACTTCAAACTACCTTATAGTAAACTCACAAGTTTTCATTTAGATGACTTTTTGTAGGATCACTGGTAATTTGTTCCCATTTTTTTTCTTAAAATGGTATGAAGAATAATGTGTTAGAGAATATCATGTAGAACTACTCTTTCAAAATGGCCACCAGATCTCATTGTTCCCAATAGGGCCATGGCCACAGGATGCTTGACTCAGCTTGCAGGAAACCATGGGAGGCAGTGATTAAAAAAATAAATTAGGAGGATTTTTGAAAGAAGGCACCTTACCCAAGGACAGTCTTTCAGATGGTTCAAAAAACCCTCCAATTATTTGCAATTGTATATCGTGTGTACTAAAACAGTTTACTAAAACTACTTACGATTAACAGTATCTTCCTCATAGGCAAATCAATATTGTGTACTAAAGAAGTTCCAGCACAGGATTTAAGAATACTCTGTGAAAGGCTGAGAGTAACAAATAGCAGCTATACTAAAGCAACAAGCAATGTACACATCAATCCTTTATATGAACCTGCTTTGGCAAGTGACACAGACAACAAGGTAGAGTTTTCTCCCCAATCAAGAAGCACAAAAATCGAGCATCTGAAGAATAACTGTGATGAAGGTGACAATGACTTAGAAATCACAACAAGAGAAAAGGCAACTGATTTGAAAGGATGGGACAGAGTTCCTGATGAGGCTTATGACCTACTTGATAAGCTACTAGATCTGAACCCAGCCACAAGAATAACTGCAAATGACGCTTTGCTGCATCATTTTTTTAAAGATATAAGACAATGAAAAGACACCCGATTTCATTATTTCCTTGATATTTGCTTCATATCAATATACTAAATGTTTGCTCACTTTGAATTTATTTCTCTCTATGGCATGGCATCTGCTTTTTTTGTACTGTGTGGAAGAGATTTCTTTAAAAAAAAAAACACAAAAAAACCCAGAAATATGTTTCTTGTGGAGGATGGTTGGCATCATGGAGAAAAAGAATATGGAGCATTTCACCTTTTAAATCACAATTTCAAGTTTATTTCTTGTTACTGGTGATGGAAACGTCAATTTATGGTTGCAGTCCAACTGCAGAAGACAAGTGTTTGGTATCTGAGTGTCAGCAAGGAAGGGTATTGGTAATGCAAAGATTGAATAAGCATGACAAGTGACATACTTTACCCCCGCCCTCCCCAGGTGATTGCTGAAGCTCATTGGTTATTGGAAAGATCTGTCTGCTGTACCTGTTCTGTGAGGAAAGGGACTTAGTCTTACTAAGGCTGTCAATATTAATTTTCATAAGTGGCAAGTCAATTTAATTGTTTTAAATCTAGTAAAATTTATAACTAATCTTTCCTGTAAAATAACTGTGTATTACTCAGTATGGTTATATAAGGAAATGTTATATGTGACACTTTTGATTAACCTACAATCTTTTAGTATTCTGTCCACAGGAATACATTCCCTTTTTTTTTCCTTCTTATGACCCATTTACTTGTCCCATTTATCTAGTGTCTTGTCCTTTTTGTATTGGGACAGCTTAGGTACATTGGTACTGGCCATAGTTGGTCTGTCGAAGTCATCCCCAGATTATACTTTGTTTTATATAAACCTCTAATCTAGGAGTCAGGCATTGTTTTGATTGTGTGCCCACCAACAGAACAAGTTTTCCAAGAAAAATACCTTCCCCATTCTACTTGGGAAGTGGGGATTAGCACAATTGCTTGTATTGAGCACAACCTGTACTTTTTCAACTAAAGTAACATGGATAACTGTCAGTGCACACCTCACTGATTAGTTCATGTGGCATGTATGCATATCAGTATGACTGTTTTGGAAATTTTTATTTTCACAAACTATCCTTTGAATAAAAGTTTTGCTTTTATAACTTGGAAAGATTGTGGTAATAGCTTAAAACTGTGAAAAATATTGGTAAGAAAGGGACATCCTGAAGTACATGTCTCTGCAAAAAAATTATATATTAAAATGCTGATATTTCTTGTGTTCTTACATAAGTCTCTCCATGATGGGAAAACAGTTGAACTGACTTCACCATAGTGCTGCTATATTCAGGGGTCTGTTAATGTTTAAATCTAGAGCAAGTTTTTCAACAGAGTTAAAAGGAGCTATTAGGTTGCTTGTAAAAAGTGCTCCAGGATGAAATTTGCCTTAAACTATCTCAGCCTAAAAGCAAGTCTTTAATATTTCAAATTTACTAAAGCAGATTTAATTATTTATTTGTAAATATTGCTTTGTTTTTAAAGTTGGATTCATTTTTGATATCTTAAAACTCAATGTTTAATTTGATAAGTGAGATAGAATATAAGATTTGTAAAATACCTACTGCCGTTCTAAATATTACACTTTGTATGCAGAAAAGTAGTTCAGAGGTGATTTTTTTCTCACAGATATAAATGAATCAATAAAGCTGTGTTTGTGGAATGATTAAACACTGAAACCAAGTTGAAAAGCATGAATCACCAAAGCCATTTATTAGGTGTGCACTTGCACAGCTAAACAATCCAACTCACAAGGAAGTCAATTGGAAAAGATTTATGGTATGTACCACTTACTTTCCATTGACACTTGGGGCCAAAACTTTGGTAAGTTAATCAAAGACCATGCTGAAAGTGTAGAGTTTTGTGGCAAAAGACTGAAGAACAATTTATGTGCGATTCCAGTATAATAGCAGATTGAGCTGTTGGCAGCAAGAGTAGTCAACAGTGGGTCTGTCATAGTACTGAGATGGGTTTAGGCCACAGGTGGGCAACAATTTTTGATGAGGGACCACTTCAAGATTTTGGAAAGTAGTCAAGGGCTGCACTCTTCCCTGACATAAATGGAAGAAGTGCAGGGTTTGGGATGCAGGTTGCATGCATAAGGGAGCTTGGAGTAAGGGACTGGGGTGCAGGAAAGGGTGTGGGATATGGGAAGGAGTTTGGATGAAGGAGGCAGTTGTGACCTAGGGCAAGGGATTAGGGTGCAGAGGTTTGGGTTGTGACCTAAGGCAGGAGGAGGTTGTGACCTTGGGCAGGGGTCTGGGATACTTTGTTCGAGATGGGATGAGAGTTCAGGAGGGGGAAAGAGGGTTTGGCTTTTGTGGGGTAGGAGAGCAGGATTGGGGAGGCAGAGTTGGGGGGAAGGTGGGGCTGCAGTGCCAGAGGCAGGCTCTGGCTGGGAAGCTTCCCTGCCAGCAGCCCAGCAGGTTTCTCAGCCTGCCTTGCTCTGCCCCCACACAGGCTGCAGGGGCCATGTGCGATGGTGAATAACAGCCTGAGGGCAGGCGGGGGAGTGGTGCTTTGTTCACTGCCAAAATTTCAAACAGGCAGCTCCCATTGGCCAGAAATCAGCCAATGGGACACTGCTGGAGGCAGAAGCAGCATGTGAAGCACCACTCCTCCCTCCCCCCAGGCTCACAGCTGAGAGAGAAATGGCTGCAGTAGCCTTTTTTGAACGGTATGGGGGAGCACATGGGGCAAGCAGGAAGTCTGTGTGAGACTCCCTGCTGCATCTGTGGGCTGGATCCAGCCCCCAGGCTGCATTTTGCCCAGGCCTGGTTTAGCCTGTTACAGGAGGAAGGAGAGAGAGAAAAAAAATCCAGACCTTTAAGAAATAAGTGTCAAGCAATCTTCTACTGAATTGTATTGAAAAGTTTTGTCCCATTTCTGGCAAAAGAAACTGGGTATTCAAGCTTGTGTTGTTATAAAAAAAATCTAATGAAGATGCCCCTTCCACTGAGGAAATATCTTCTGGTCCCCTTTCTGCATATGCACAAGCCTAGGGAAAGTCCTTTGCAGAGAAGAGGAAAAGAATTCAGTTCTACAGTATAAATCTAAATACCTTCAAACTGAAGACATCTTCTCTTTGGCTACATAGTTATGTAGATTTAGCAAGAATGATTTCCCAGAGTGATACAGCTTTAGCACCTTGCATTGCATTGCATTTTGGCTTCATTATCATAATCACAGTTGTGGCTAATACAGGGTTTTCCCTCATTTAATACATACAATTTCCATTATAAATCAAGGGTCTGATGCAGCAAAAAACTGTAACAAGGCATAGTACTTGCAGGATTGGGGCCAAAGCAACTGTCCCCTGAATTCTGAACAAATGTGGGGCTTGTATTTAAAACGGTTAGAGTGAAACCATAAATGTAATAGACGTCACAGAACTCTCAATATTTTCATCATGCAAAGTGAAGTTGGTCTGTTTTCAGCAGTTTGTAAACAAAAAAGCAAAAAAAAATTCATGCTGTCTACTGAAAGTTTAAAACAATCTTTATGTAAATTTCTTCAACTACTAATATAGTTTCTACTATAAAAGGTTATGACCACTACCCTGAAACGATTACTGCTCTAACATATTTATGAAAAACTTTCCCTTATAAGGTGATGAGTATGATAGTGAAAATGCCCTAACCACAGCTGTTGATGAAAAGCAATTATTTCAATATAATTAAACTTATAAAGATCTTGAATAAGAATTACTAAACAATGGTAATCTCATACTGTTTTTGGCATCAGCTGTTAGAGAAAAAATGTTTGCAGATGTGAGAATATTGATTGCAGAAAATCTTGAAACCCACAAAACCTTGGGGGCCAGGTTTTAGTAATTTCTGCTGTTTATGTAATTTCAGCACAGCACATCACTGAGAAATTATTTATCTAAGGGAACTGTGGCCAAATTTGGCAAGCGGTGCTGTCTGCCAGTGTCTGCAGATGTATTGTTTCCTCTTACGATCACTCGTGCTGTCAGTGTTCTAGTAAGACCACAAACACCAAGCAAAAATGTCAGCTATCAATGCAAATTCTCTAAACTGCTTTAGAGTCATTATTTAATCTATGTCCTGACTTCTATTAGTCAGAGCTTGGAACACCCTTTTGTACTGGATGGTAGAAGTACCCATCATATTGGTTAAATAATCAAAACTGCCACCCATCTCTCTCTCTCTAGTCTCTGATAATTCCCCCACCATTGTGTCATAGTGAAACACTCAAGATTCCTCTTTAGTACCTCACTAATTTGGGTGATAGGTAACAGAACCAGAGTCTGCAATGCAATAAAAGCCATTTATATTGAGTTGTCTCAATGTAAGTTTTAAACATGCACAAGGATAGTTGCTGGTGCAGCAAATGTACAGCAGTTGTGAGACCACAGCTGGAATACTGACTTTTAGACACTGTACTACGAAAATTTTAATAAATTGGACAGAGACCAAAGGAGGGCAGCAAAAATGATTGACTTGGGAAGCATGACATATGACAAAAGAAATCACTATGTGGAATCTTGAGGAAAAGAAGCCTCGGAGCAGATATAACAATTCTTATGGATGTAAGAGAGGAAAGGGGTGGATTATTTTCAGTGCTATACAAGCCTAGAACAGAAATTAATCATCTATACTTGACTTCTGCCTCCTCCTATTCTACTTTGTGGGGGGGAGGGGTTTCTCCTCTTTGTAGTAGTGGGCAGTTAACCAGTAGGGCAGAACTACAAAGAAGTTGCAGAATTGCCATCTCCGGAGAGATTCAAAGCAATATTAGAATAGTAATTACAGGCAGTCCCCGAGTTACACGGATCCGACTTATGTCGGATCCGCAGTTACGAACAGGGCTTTTCTCTCCCTGGAGCATGGGAGCGGCGGGACGCCCAAATGCGCCGCGGTCCGCCGCCCCCGTCCTCCGGGGCGAGGAAAAGCTGCTCCCTGTCCCCCTTGTCTGCCGGGGGACAGGG